CACAACACCAGAAACCCTTGGGCTTGGGTATGTTAACTTTGGATCTTAGGCAAATTATACAGAAGTCATTGGTGAACTTTTTACATTCATGCATATATAAGACGAATATTCCCAACATAGCAGCAACATACAATGGGACACGGGTTATTCCCGCTGCCGACCCGTTCCTTAGACCGCCTGTAAAACCCGTAAATCTTCGACATCGACCGCGAGTCCCCCTTACTGCTGCTTGCTTAAATATATATATTACTTCTTTGGACTAACCACATGCGCTTCTTGAGCGCCTTTAATTTACTACGAGGAGCAGATGGTAAAACCCAATTAGATTTGTCAGACAAGCACGCACTTAAACCCTATATAAGGTAAACAAAAGGCCAAGCCGAACAAGAATCAACCAATCATTGCGCACCTCTCGAGTAATTTCCACAGCTATATAAAAAAAAAAAGACAAGTTCGCTTCAGTTCTGCTTCTTAGGAAAGAAAGATGGATCAAATCTCACGCCCAGGGTCAACTCTCGACTCTACTAACTCGAAAAAACCAGCAAGAGTGGTAAGCTCTCTTCAAGATGATAGCAACTATATTTATAATCGATGCATCCTTCGCGACGGACTGAAAGACAGTAGTATTAAGTTTGAAGGCCTTGTGAAGAACCAAAACGGAGAGGATAATTTTGAACATGAACGTACGTGGCACTTCGTGCGTACGGCAGGCTGTAAAATAAGAGACGTCATGACCACCTATTTGACACGTAATCTCCCAAAGATCGATAAAGATGCACAACAAGACTTACGAAGCGCCTTTGAAAACCTGTTTGTGTACAGTGCCTACAAAGATAAGCTTAAAAATGAAGGTCAAAAAGTTTGGAAGTCATTGAATTTGCTTCTATTTAATCCAGAAATTGGTGGAAATGAGGAAGATTACGTGGCTCACGTCACTTTCAGTTGCACCACCACGAAAGGCCCAGAAAATCACTACACAGTTCATACGAGCATCACTTGCCATAAGTTCACCTGGTTTGCTTTTCAAGAAGAAGATATGGAAGATTTTCTGGAGGCTCTTAAGAACGTTAGGGTGGCTGAACGCTAAACTAGCTTGTCGAAAAAAGACCAGAAAGCCTCCTAAAAACAGTGCTTGATAAAAACCACGAAAAATATGTAACGTCTTCAGCTTTTTTTCTTTTTGACAAAACATTTTTWGTTTACAAAGTTTTGATTTGTTTTTATCTTTTAGGTTAGTAAAGTATTTGCAAATGTTAAAATCGTTTCAGTCTTTCGAGGTAATAATCTAGTTATTATTCCATGT